CTTCAGGTAGACCTGTAAAGCTTGTTTACCTGATCACAGAAATGGCTGTTGCCTATCAACCCAGGTAAATATGTGAGCATGCACTTTGAGCGCACAGATAGCAGCATGTACGATATTGGTGGGACTTTTCTACCGTCAGTACTGACCCACAATGAACTAGGAGTCACGGTGAGTTATGATTTGGAAACCATAGCACACCGTCTACCGGTCGCAGCTTGACGTTTTAGGACACTTCGGGCATCACGCAGAACGTTTACAAAAACAAGTGGTGATATGTTCACCACCTTAAACACACATTTAGTTATGTCTTGACCAGAAAACTGTACACAGGCAGCAAATCCTTGTCTGCAAGACGTCTCAGAACTTCTAGGAAAAGTTTAGAAGGCAGCCACTTGTATGATCCCTGTTCTGACCGGCCCCAACTATGAAGATCGACTTGAGGAGCTGAACCTCTTCTCTTTATCCTATCGCAGACAGAGGGAAGATCTAATCATGCTACTCAGGATTCAAAGAAATGACTCTAGGCTTGATCTATCTTCTCTTTTCCTTCTCACTAGGTCGGGACACCTCAGAAGACATAGTAGGAGGCTACAAAAGCATAGGACGAACATAGTCTCCACAGAGTACTGGTTGTCGCGTCGAGTAACCAACGCCTGGAACCGACTTCCAGAAGAAGTGGTGTCCGCACCATCAAATGACTCGTTCAGAATGGAGTTGGACAAGCACAGAAATCTACTGGAAAAGGATTAATATAGGCTACCAGTCTCCTATCTTCAAACAACAAATCTGAATTGGAAACTAAGTGGTGGCGGCGGGAGATTTGGTAACCGAATCTTTGTTGATCGAACCAACGCCAATTACATGCAATATAAATGACTCAGCACCTGTTTCGGATATATGAAAAGGCTTACTATTTACGTCAAATGGATGACTTGAGAATTATAACTATATAAACCTATTTGAGTGTTATGGAGTTGCCTGACATGAATACAGACAATAAGTTGTTGTCCAAAGTGCTATCCAGTAAATAACTCTGTTTCACTGTGAGACACATCTAATGAGCAAACTCAAGTGGAATCATCACCGATTAATTAAAAGGAGTGAAATGAAAAATGAAAAAGTGAAAATGTCTCCTAGGTAAACGAAAATGAAGGAGTGTGGCTCCCTTGGAATAATATCGGTAATGTCTGAGCTTATTTTGAAAATTCCATTCCGTAAATTATGTAAAATAATGTTCTAGCACTGAATTTCATTGCCACCCAGTTCAAGCATAAGATATGATATCCTAAATGCGTTGGTCAATCAAATTATTTGACGATTTGTATCAACCCTGGATGTCTAGTCCCTAAAGAAATTTTGGTATGGACATTAGTGTTTTTTATGGCATTAACCAACCTACACCGTAGATAATGTCCATTTATTCGTTAAAATGACTGATTAGGGTTACCTACGATTTTTAGTATATTCAGCTACTGTGAAATGTGTGTTTTTAAGGTTGATGAAAAGAGATGGTCGGGATGTCTCTGATAACCGATGTCTTCAAAAGAATTGATCATATATGACGAAATTACTAGGTGCCTAATGGAATTGTTGAATAAGACGCTCATAGTAAGGAACGTTATCCAGCCCATGAGGTGATAAACACCTGATAAAAATGGATGAAATTTGTTACTCATCCCAAACTACCTTGTATGGTGACTGTTTGAACTAAATGCAGTAGGGTTAGTTTATAAAGAGTTAAAGCTGACCACATTGAGGATTTAATATCCTCGATGGAAGAAATCATCTACTTTCACTCTTTGTCAATTAGAAGGATTCAAGCTGCATGGTTGTAGTTAGTAAAGGTTATGATACCTTCTTTTGGCTCTCTTCTTCTATAAATCCTCCTGCTGATCGTGGATTTTGAACAGATTGACTTTTGTTAAAGTTTCTACATTGCTTTGTCTACTAGCCTTACTTTTAAGTAGGCTACATGAAATATTCCACTTGGTTATAAGAGTTATCATTATCCTTTATATTTGTCTGCCTAATACACACATTCCGTTAGATGATTATGGTTTTAACAAAACTCTAATCTGTTTAACTTGCGAAAATTTATGAAAATACGTTTCGATACTGGAGGATGGTTGAAGGTAGGATGGAAATCTGTACGGTGAGAGGATTCGTACCAGCGACCTCCTGATGACCGGACCGGTACTCTACCAACTAAGCTATGAGACCAGGCTGCTGACCAGATTTCATTCACCAAAATGGTTTTTTTACTCTTTAATTCATCTCAGATAGTTCAGTTGAGTGGGAGGAGAGGTGGTGCGGGTATTGTCAGATACTCGAAAACTACTGAAAACTCAACAGGTATCTAGAAAATTAAAGTTTTCTTGAAAATAAATATTATTACTAAGCGGTAAACAAGTGAAGTAACAAGAAATTTTACCAAGACTTGAGCGAATATTTTCGTTTTACTTCGAAAATATTCATGAAGTTGATAAATATTGAAATGAATCTTAATAACTCGCTCGCATTATTAATATTTCGAAGAAATTTCCTTGGGTATCGTCATCACCTGTGTCTTCTCTATGTCCACCTGAAGGAAGTCCCTTCTTCCTTCGCTGCCCTGCCTCACCTCTTCTGTCAACCTGTTACGGTTCGCCTGTAGATCTTCGAGTTTGTGCCACACTAAACATTAGACATATATCATCATCGGTGAAAACCAAATCTTCTCCTGTGGTCTTTCCATCGGTCCAACCAGTGTATGCTCATCTTCTCACTACTCATGGTTGTCTGTTGCATGATCCAGTGTAGTCGACTACAATCAGGAAGATGATCGGTGATAGTGGGCGGCAACCTTGTCACTCTACTATCTTCACTTCGGAGGCATCACTGAGCTTTCCATTGTGAATCACTTGGCATGTAGCATCATTTAGCATAGCATAGCCTAGCCTATCACAGCATAGCATACAGCTGCTGTTGAATGAGGTTGATAAATGTTTGTGGCACTAAAACCGTAGTGTTGAAGCAGCTGCCTGCTAAATTACTTCTCTATCGACGCTGTCGAAGGCCTTTTCGAAATCGACGAAGTTGAGGTAGAGAGTTGACTACCATTCAAGAGTTTTTTGAAGTGATCAGCTCATTGCTTCCTTCATTTCTCCTCTTTGGTGGCAACCAGATTTCCTTCACTATCTTTCATTAGTTTCATCTGTGTTGATCTCTCCACCCTCCCCCAGATAGTAACCTCGTTATTTGATGTAATGTTGTTAGGTCTCTGTCTCGCTTACCTGCAGTCTGTTCTGCTTCACTTGCCAATGTGTCGTAGAAGTAACTTTCATCTTTGCACGCACTCTTCTTCACTTCTTTGTCCAGTGTAGTGTTTTATAGGTTGTGTTCAGTTCCTCGTTTCGTTGTTCATCACTACAGTGCACTGCATTGCCCTGTTTTATCTTCTACTTCACCATCCTCCGCCCCCTGCTCTATCAGCTTCCATGTGTAGATCCGTTGAGATCCATTCTTCGTCTTGTCTTTCTACTTCTTCCTTCATAACACAGTTGTGCAGGTTACCTTCCACATCTCTTTCACAGAGTTCCAGTTTTCCAGTGTATGATAGTGACTTTCCTTCGTTTCGAGTTGAATCTTACTGTCATGATCCCGATCGTGGAGGAGATTGGTTCTCGCTGAACGAGAGTCGTCGATGCCATTGGGGACATCATGATAGCCACTCCAAAACTCAGTGTTCTGTGCTCGTGATTGTCGTCTGGGTGACAATATCGGAGTTGATTATTGACTCTCCAGTTGACAGTTTGGAGAGTCCACTTCCATTCTATCTACTTTCGCAGACTCCTAGCACTTCAGTGCTATAGCTTCTCATCTCTTTTGCAATCAGGTTAGCCTTGGTAGGTTCCAACATGGTGCGGACATTCCATTTCCCCATTCTAACTTTCGCTTTCATCGAGAGAATAGTTATCGACCGATTGGCTTCCTGATGGCTTTCACCAACCGGCGTCATTTCGTCTCTCCGATTCTAGTGAGGAACAGTATTGTTTTTATTTTTTGTGTTTTCTTTGTACTTTGAAGATTCCTGAGTGACTGGATTGGTTTTCCTGTGTATGGTTGCTAGCCCTATGCCTGACCTTCCTTCTTTTTCCGGGTTTATGACCGGCTAGAAACTAGTGAACTAGTTTATTAGGGGATGTTTTAATTAACTTGCTTTCTCTTATCAAAATAAAACAAGACAAACAGATAAAACAGAAAAAAAATTTCTCGTGTTACCAGTTGTCTGCTGAAGCATTCTTCAGTAACAGGCTGTGAATTTTCTAATTCTGAACTTGTATGCATATGTGAATAATATGAATCCACAGCATTCCAAAAAATTTACCCTTGTTTATTATAAACATGAATATATTACGTTTTAAGGAAAGAACCAACTTATAAGTATATTTGTAATGATTACTTATCAACAATCGTTTGTATTTGATTTTTGAAATATCTCGACCAAAACTACCGGCAAAATAAGACATCATTGTAAATCATTATGTATATATATTCATAAGAAGATGTTTCTGTTCTGAAATACCTTGTATTATATACCTTCATGGGGGTAATAATTTGGTCTTCGTACTGCCAGTCAGGCACCTTGACTGTGAAGTCAACTTTTATAGATGACCTAAACAAAATTTCAGTGAAGATGGCTTTGAAGCGATCAGTGATTCAATAGACCCAGATGTATCACTGAGAGATTAATCAGTTACCTATTTACTTATTTACAAAGTTTATCATGAAGCAGTGTTTGTATTCCGATTGTTTATTCATTATCGTTTTCTGCAGAAAGTTAAAATTGGCTTTAGGTTAAAGCAATACTATCATGTGACTAAGGCTTGTGATAAGTTATTTACCACCTACAACAAATCACGTTACCCAATAAAACTGGAGAAAGATTGTGGTCGCGAAATAAAGCTGATTCCACCAAACAATCCATATGTTTCATACTGCCCACATATTGTACTATTCAAATGATTTATGATGAGAATAAAGGACGTCATGAATTGTTATTTAAACGTCTTAACAATATCGTGAATCCAAAAGATACAACTATCCGTCTTATATCAACTACAGTAAGACAGATTAATGATCGTGAATACCCAATGAGATTAGAAGATATTAGGAAATTGTTTGATTATCATATACTACCCGGATATCAAGATATGAAAGCTTTGATTACAAAAGGTTCGACATTTTGTAATATGAGATGAAAAATGAATGAACTGTCTCTTTTCCTCCAATTCTTAATTGCATTTTTTGCTCTCTCTGTACTTTAATCACACTATTTATTTAGTGGATAATACTTATTCATAAACTAGGTGGTTGTTTTCTCAGTTGTTTATGTGAATACTATCGTTTGATTTTGTGCACCTCTCTAAGTTTTCATTTCTACTTTTCAATTATAATTGCTCATTTACTTGTATTCATTTTCAGTAGTGTGTTTTGGTTTAGAAAATATCCTCACAGTTAAATCAAGCTACTGTGTTTTACCATTGTATCTCAACAAAAACTGTTTCTATTAAAAGTCTAGGTTATGAATGCTGTTTGTAGATATCACCTCGCTTATATACGTTGACAGATTTTCGGAAATGAAAAATTTACGAATCGCTTTCATTACTCAGATACATCCCCTCGAGAACTGCTGAAAAATGGAGACAAAAGAAAAATATTTTCTACTGTCTTAATGAGCTTCCCAGAGATATAAGCCACTGATCCCTTTATAGCAATAAATTGGCTACTTTTTCTGGATGGATAAAAGAAGCACCTATGGTGCCTCTGTGTCTCATTTTGATCTGTGGTAAACCAGTTTGGGCAGACGAAATATAATGACTTTATGCTCCTGTCAGCATGGTAAATATCATGCTCTAAATATCATAATCTCAGAGCTTTAATTACGTCAGCAAACGTAATCTCAAACTAAAAATCACTACAGTCGTGTTAGCAGAAACGTTATTCAATTTTCTCAACACTACAAGAGACTGACCACTCTATATTAAGCAACCTCTATACAGTCTACTCATCCGTTATGATTCCTTCAATGGGCTAGAAGTTACCCTCAGTCCCAAAACTGCATCATAAAATAGCTGGAATACCTCAGGTTGAACTACATCGGTGTTGATCATGGTATTCTTTCGTAACATCTTCTGGAAGCCGGAGATCTTGTAGGACATTTGCCATATTGAATATATGAAGAACTGGTGATTTGCCTTGATGTGAAACATCATTACAGCGGATTCCTATTCTGTATGTAGTTAACTGTATGCACCAGAAGTTTTCGACTAAGAGATTTTACATGGTTATGCGAGCTGAAATCCTTAATTTTTTAAAGAGAAAAAAGTCTTTCATTGTTTTACTAAAGTTTAGTCCTACTGAGTTCAGTAACAGACTGGCACGAAAAAATTTTCTGCTGCCTCTAAATATATACCACAACAGTTGCACAATTCAAGAGCCGTAAAATAACCAGAATTTTGAATTAATCGTCATTAATAAAGAAAATATCCCAATTAACTAATCCATTTATTTTACTTTCTGCATACCTGGCGATATCATTACCTATTAATCCTAAGGAGTTCATTTAGAAAGATGTCTTAACAACAGTATGGAAATATTCATCAAAGTGGCGAATCAAATGTATAAATGGAGTTTCGATAGCTTAATTAGAAGACGAAGTTTATCTTAACAATGTAATGTATTTGCCTAATACATTTCGAACAATCTGATCACACATTTACTTGTCAAGTCAATATATATTAAACCGAGTTGTGTCATTTTCCAAGACTATTAGCATTCTCTGTGACTATATATCCTCTAGAAACCTCCCATTTCCTATTACTCCAAACTTTCCGAGGGAGCTATTATTGCTATGTATCTACAAAGTCCACTTCACGTTTGAAGGTGAACGCTTTTGACAAGTTAATGGTGTAGCTAAGGATAGTCCCTTAGGACTACTACTAGCTAATATTTATATGTCATATACCTAAAATTGGTTAGTGATCTCATCGCTAAAGTTCAAGTTTACAAGAGACATGTTGATGACATCGTAGTGGTTTGTGAGACGCATGAGGATATGGCTTTTCTACTAAAGGACTTAACACCGTACAAACATATCAATAATCATCTGCCATTCCTAGACATACTCCTGAGTCAACGAGAAAATGGTTCAATAAGACGGTCAGTTTACAGAAAGCCTACATGGGCAGGACGACACCTGAACTTTCAGTTTTTGTCCAGTCCAATACAAGCGAGGTCTAATAAAATGCCTGTTTAGTAGAATCTATCGTATCAGTACGTTAGATACGATGGATGAAGAAATCAAATTACTGACCGAAACCCTTACGGAAAATGGATATCCGGTGAAGTTGTAGAGGTCAAGTAGCACCAAAACCAACTCTATACACGGTTCTTAAGAAAACCATTCATATCACTCTGCCATACAGAGGAAGTTGAACTGTACACTTTTGAGAAGCAGGCTGATATCAGCCATTAAGAAAACATATTACGCAGCTAATTTCATCATTGTGGAAAAAACAAAACACATGCTTCACAAAAACCTGAAAAACTACATCAGTGATTACGTCACATCCTACTGTGTTTGCTAATTTACATATGCGTGTGGTCACACATATATAGGGAGGAGTAATCGAGTCGTGCAGTTGAGAGTGGGAGAATATGTAAGTAAATGGCTTCAAAAACAAATGGAGTGTGAAACAGTGATAAACCCTGGTGGGAAACGACCCTCTTCATCTATAGCTAAACATATCATAGAAACAGATCAAAAGGTTAATGTTCAAACAGCTTTCAAAGTTTTTATTGAAACAGTCAGAGATGTAGTATGAAATTTGCGCATGCCATAGCCATACACAAATTAGGAAATGAAGTATGAAAATAGTAGATATCTAGACAACCATAATAATAACGGCGATAATAGTAGTTATCTCAGTGATGATAAGAATGATGAGAACAGCAATGTACTGCAAATATTTAAACAAACAATGTCGATCAAAACTTAGAAAAATAAGTTAAGCAATATCAAACGATGAATTGCATAGATAATCAAAGTCTAAACAAATAAGCAAACATGTGTGAAAAGGAGGGAAGAAAGGGGAAGAGGATGAAAATTGAATTTATCTTTGGAGTTATTTACTAGGTTTCTTCTGGTCAAGGCAGAGATAAAGGCTGCAAAAACTTTTTCTGCACACAAAGACTGGGCTTGTTTTTTCTAATTTCCATAGCATCAGCTATATGTAAAATGCGAGTCTGAATTCTATTCGAAAGATTTTGTGGAATGTGATAGATGATCCTGAACGCTCTGGTTCTATCTATTACACGGCTGCTGTCAACCAAATGTGGCAGAATTGAACTTCGCATTGACTTCACTTGTCTCTTTCCTAGCCATGATGGTGCTGAGCAATATGCTTGTTAGGCTCCCTAGTTGTATCCCAATATAGCTTTCTCCACAGGAGCAGCTGAATTGATAAATGCACATAGAAGTGGCAGAACTGGGCAGCTTGTCTTTTGTCTAGGCAACAATTATCAGCCGACTAGAAAGTGACAAGCAGAGGTTAGCAGCATAAAAGGTTCTACTGATGGCTGTAGACAGCCTGTGGAATAGAACTTCACTGGGTGTGTCCCCTTTGAATTGGAGTTTCATGAATATTTTTTTGAACAAGCATTTGATCAGATTTCCTACTTATTTTGTTCATATGTCTCTTGATAAAACTATGGGGGTAACCCATTTCTGGCAGCATACTATGGATGTGTTCTAACTCCTTTTGTATCAAGTCATCTCAGCAGATCATACTGGCTCTGTTTGCAAGACGTTTAGTTACACTTATTTTATATCGAGTGGTCATAAAGCTAAGGAAATGTATGTACTGACCCGTAGATGTGATCTTTCTTTACACCCTTCTACCAAGTGACCCATCTTCTCTTCTACTCAATAGGACATTTAAAAAGTGTGGCGTATTTTCTTGTTCTTCTTCACAACTGAAAATCAGAGAAGGATGCACGCCATTGAATTTTCTCAACATTTCGTTTTTGTAGACGTTCTCGTCAATGATGATGAGTGTTGTCTATATATCGTTTATACATATGCAGGCTATCAATAACACCTTTCAGTGGTCCATTCTCCAGTTTAGCAAGAAAAAAATCAGCTAATACTGAGCCTAATTGTGAACCTATGGCAATTCCATCAACTTGCCTGTAATATGTATGATTAAAAAGAAAATCCACATTCATGATGCATCGCAGAAGTAATTGTTTGAGACTATTTTCTCGAAGTCCAACATTATTCTGTGCTTCTAATACCTACTGACAAATGAAATCTACTGTTTCGAGAAGTGGTACATTGGTGAATTAAGAAACAATATCTAGAGATACTATATGTTTCCCGTTGATATTCAAGTTTTGCAAATTGGAGATGAAGTCGAATACATCATTGACACTATTCTTAGCAACGTGTTTGTCAAGAGGTTGTGGAACTCCTACTGGCGACTTCGCGATTTTATGATAAGAGGAACTGGATATATCTAAAACCGAACAAATAGGAAGTTGTGGTTTATGGACCTTAGGTAAGCCATACAGTCATGGTGTATAACACCCTGTGGGTTTAATTGCCTCGCAGGTTGTCGTGGAAATTATAACTTTCTTTCTTAGTTTTTTTCAGAAAGTTTGTCAGTTGTCTCTCTGCTCTACCGTTTAAATCTGCATCGTCACAAAGTTTTTGATACATCGTTTGGTCGTCCAGAAGCGAGTTCATTTCGTCGATACATTCGATATTAAGACTATACCTGCTTCATTATCTGGTTTACTTATTATCAGGCTTTCATCTTTCTTTAGTGTTCTTCACGCTTCTCTATGCTGTTTAGTCAATAGACTTTTAGCAGAATGAATACTATTTGTGTATTGCTGGCAGCTATAGACTAATGTTGTTTTGAATGTAGCAAGTTCATCTTCAGATGATGGGACTAAGTCATCTTTTTGTGAAATTAACTTCCCAAATTGCACATTTGTATCAAGTTGATTAACATTATGTTTGAAGTCACAAAATTTAGGATCGAGAGATAAAATTTCTAATTGAAACTTATCTAGTTGTACACTAGAAAATAAATCAGGTGTATCACAACTTGGTTTGACAAAATATTGACAAGTTTACCTAACGAATATTGACGGGTTTCTGCGTTATCATACAATCTAGCTGAATAGTCAAAAT